TTGCGCAACAACTCCTGCAATCGCCAGCCAGATTAGATCACTCGATGCACGATATATTGATAACCTATCAAATATATCTTCGAATCTCCTCGCTTCTGTCTTTTGATTTCACTCGGTGGGTACGATCCATAATAGAAGGTGTTACTGGTTAAAGCGTTGTTGAACTCCGAATACCTGTGGCGTCTTCAACACTTAAATAAATAAGCTTTTCAGATTCATTTTATCTGCAGACATATCTAAGTAAAGGCTCTTAGTCACGCATCATCAACAGATCACAGGTGGGTAAGGCGTGTCACACATCTCATACAACCGTTAGCCAGCTTACATAAAATGTTTCTCGAGATATCAATAGCCTTTCAAGTATCACTTAAAGAAAACTTCTGAAATATTCCTCTAAATAAAGATGACTACAAGAGAACAACAATGATTGTAATAATCGGTCAGTTTGTTGACAGATATTATTTTATTGAGTTTCTTAAAATATCAATTCTTGTGGTTTTTAAGTCGCAACAACAGTAAAAATGGGTGCGTATGGCTATGTCAACAGTGCTGTTTGGATGCAAATAGCCTGTTAACCGAGGCCATCTGAATAGTAAATGCCGCAAAAAAAGTGTCTCGGCAAGCGCGGTCGGGATACATCAGTCAGAATTCAATCTGTCGACACGCAGATTGACACAAGGCAGGCCCAAGTGAGTCCAAAAACTGCCGACTCACACTCTACTAAGGAGGAAGAACACCCTCCAAAGAGGACTGTTACAACCAGAAACTCGCGCAAAAAAGTCTCTTCTGTCCCTCGTATCAAAAATGGTACCCAGAAGGGAACTTCCGGAAGCCGAAACCGCAAGGCTCGATCGGTTTCCAGCGCGAAAGATGACCCAATCTCCCAAGTCGTCCTGAATCTTCCGGAATCCCACAGTACGCCTGACGCGAATGTGGTTATCACTCCAAAGAACGTTGGCGATTGGGTACGGGTCGTAAGAAAAAAAACGCCAAAATGACGTAAAAGGAAATCATACCCCCACCAAAAGGGTCGACAAGCCGAGGTCTGATCACAGCGACAGATCAGTCATTCTCCATAGAGTCAAGGAGAGTGACAACTTAGAACCGAAAGCTCGTTTTGAGCATGACATTGTGTTGATAAAACAACTACTCAACCAAGTTATGCCCAAAAACATCCCCGGAGTCACCTTGCTAAAGGTGTATAGACTAGGAAATCTAGCGCATCTGAAACCAAATCAGTCTAGACTACTCAAAGTCGTTTTCAAATCCCCAAACGAACGCGACTTAATCTTAGAAAATGGACACAAATTAAAGGGTTCAGGAGTTTTTTTCCGTAAGGACTTACCGTTGGCGGACCGTGTTAAAAGACGGGAAGCCGAAAAGGAACTACAGCTCAGATTAGACGCTGGCGAAAAAGACCTGAAAATTGTAAATTTTCGGGTTGTGAGGCTTCGACAGAGGATGATGCCGAAGCCACTCTGGGTGAAGCACGAGGCCACCTAAATAGGCTTCGGATCTGTTATACCAACGCCCGGAGCTTACTAAATAAGCTACCGGAACTAGGTGTACAGATTGACTCAACTAGGCCAGACATAATCGCAGTCACAGAAACATGGCTGACGCCGTCTATAGATAGTAGGGAACTTGATTTCGAGGGTTTTACATTAGTAAGGGCCGATAGAATACAAACGCGTAAAGGAGGGGGAGTAGCTCTATTCATTAGGAATGCTATTCCATTCACCATTATCGACAGTGTATCCCATGAGAGTGGGACGTATGAATTAATTTGCTGCCGCCTGAAATGCAGGGGACAAGAGTTGCTACTTAGTTTGATCTATCGCAGTCCAAGCTGTGAGGCAAACGAGGTCCTGCTAAGCAGTCTCAACACTTTATCACGAAGTGATCGATGTCTAATCCTAGGGGACTTTAATGCACCCATGGTGGACTGGGGAAATCTGCGGACTGAATCGTCAGCAAACTCCTTCGAACAGGAACTAGTTGATGCGGTAATCACATGTGCCCTAGTGCAACACGTGAAGGAAGCAACTAGGTACGACCCGGGTCCTGCATCATCCTTACTAGATCTTATATTGACTCATTACGAGGATGATGTTGCAAACCTGGATTACATGCCACTCCTAGGCAAAAGTGATCATGCAGTTTTAAGCTTTGACTTCCATATAACTGTCGATCACGAGTACGCTTCAGCTCAATCCAGACCTAACGTCTGGAAAGCAAGCACACCAGACATCATGAAATCAGCATCATTAGTAGATTGGAAATTAGACCCAGAGTCATCAATCGAAACGACTTGGGACGTATTCCGGAATTTATACTTAAAAGTTACCACCCCCCACATCCCTTGGACTACACCTAAGAGACCGAGAAACTCCCCACCGTGGTTCAGTAGGGAGGTTCGCATCCTTCTCCGTAAAAGAAGGAAAATGTGGGACAGATTTAGGTTACTGGGGACTGACGAGGCAAAATCTCAGTATCAAAAGGCTCGAAATACCTGTGCCTCGACCCTCCGTAAGGCCAGAAAGCTGTACGAAGAGAAAATCGTTAGGGAATCCATAGAATGCCCTAAACGCTTGTATTCGTATATAAACCAAAGGACAAGAAGAAGAAGAAATGTTCCTTCACTATGGGGAGACAGTACTGCCACATCACTAGTGGAGGACGACTTTGGCAAAGCTCAAGTATTCTCTAAATACTTTAGCGATGTATACACCATAGAAACACCCTTCTCGCCAGTCCATGAAAATCCACCCACACAAGCACTGGACAGCGTAACCATTAAAGAACTCGATGTCTTTGGTCTTCTAGTTAAGCTTGACATAGGTAAATCCACTGGACCCGATGAACTGCATCCTAGGTTATTAAACGAATTAGCTAACTTTGTTGCGAACCCTTTAAGTGTATGTTTTAATCTATCCGTAACCCAGGGTCGTCTACCAAAAGACTGGAAGAACGCCATAGTAAGTCCAGTCTTCAAAACAGGTACAAAACATAAGCCTGAGAATTACCGACCAATTAGCCTAACTAGTGTGGTTGTTAAAATCTTAGAAAAGATTATTCGGAATGAACTGTTAAAGTATCTCGATGAAAACCGGATCCTTTCCGAAAAGCAGCATGGTTTTAGAACAGGTTATTCTTGTCACACAAACTTATTAGTCGCTCGTGAAAGCTGGTGCACTCTTAAGGACCAAAAATTACCTATAGACGTAGCTTACATCGATTTCAGCAAAGCTTTCGACAAAGTTCCGCATAACCAACTGTTATATAAGCTAAGGAATGTCGGGATTGGAGGCAATCTATTGATGTGGATAAAAGACTTCCTAGTTGGGCGTCAACAAAAAGTAAGGGTGAACTCCAAGTTGTCTAGCTGGGAAACTGTGCTTAGTGGAGTCCCCCAGGGTACAGTTTTGGGGCCAGCGTTATTCCTCCTGTACGTAAATGATCTCCCTCGTCTACTATCGTCATCGGTCTTACTCTATGCTGATGATGTCAAGATATGGAGAGCAATACAAAGCAAGGGCGATAGCTTAGAACTTCAAAATGACCTGGAGAGATTATCTGAATGGTCCCAAACCTGGCAATTGCCGATAAACACTTCCAAGTGTATTGTGATGCATATTGGCCACCAGGGTACAGATACATACACGATGAATAACACTGAGTTACCTATTGTTCAGGCACACAACGACTTAGGCGTCATCGTCAGTCAAGACTTAAAGACTACTGCACACTGCCGTGCAATAGCCGCCAAAGGTTTTAGGACTTTATGGTCCATACGCAGGGCTTTTAGGCATCTTGACGCTAAAACGTTTTTGACTTTGTATACAGTGTTCGTACGCCCTAAACTTGAGTACTGTATACAAGCAGCTAACCCCTGCCTAAAAAAAGACAGTGAACTCTTGGAAAGGGTTCAGAGAACAGCAACTAGGCTGATTCCCGGAATAGCGAAGCTCCCGTATGGTACCAGACTGACCAAGCTAAACCTATTCCCGCTGTCATATAGAAGAATCAGAGGTGACTTGATTATAGTTTTCAAATTGCTTAATGATAAATTTGCACCTGATATGCCCTCATTTTTCTTGTCTTCCAAAACAGAAAATCTACGAGGACACTCCATGAAAGTTTACAAGCCCAGAACGAATTACTTGTCAGATGACTACCGACTTTCCCGTCGAATAATCAACGAGTGGAATTCATTACCTCAGCACGTGGTTGAGGCTCCATCCGTCGACTCCTTCAAAAGAAAGTTGGATCAGCTGAGAGACCATCATTGCCACTTGGTTTATTGAGTGGAAAGAACATTTTCTGCTTAATATATGAGTAGCTAAATACATAAATAGCTGAAACATAGTTCAAAGTATCTGATCTCACTAATGGACGGTAAATCTTTTTCGGTAATTCGAATCATTATAAATCAGAAAGTCAGCTACAGAAATCTTCTCTTGCTTTAATGCGCACTGTATTCTGGAACGACATACTTTGTCCAAATAATGTCTGCAAAATATATCAAACAAATCACCAAACGACATACATATGATCTTTTAACAGTGACTTAAATATTCACACATTACAGTCAGTTTTCGTATTTAGAAATTAAATATTTCTAGTGTTTTCCCTTTTTTCATAACAGCCTTATGATAAACTCGTATTACTTTTTAACCTGAGTATACACAAGAGTCGTGGAATAATGTGAGATTTTTCATGATATGGATATGCGAACATTAGAGTCAACTCTCAATTAAGACGGTGATAGCAGTTTCAGTCGATTCCCACACAAAGGATTTATGGTACTAGTGATATATTCATGTTATCTCTTCTCTCAGTCACACACGGTATATAATGATGTCGTTGTCTTAAGTTATTGAAGTCTTATATCGTTCTTAATTTAGTTAGTGACTTCTATAATTAGTTTGTTGATGCCAAGGAACCATCACGTTGCTATTTGAATATGACAACACTTGAAGTTTGAGCTCTTAAGGCCAAATACATTGGGAGATTTAAAAGTATCCCGTGATTGCGCACTTTTCGACTGGTTTGTGACTTTTGTATTTCCTCACCTTTCTCACCCAACCTAACAAATGTTTAACTAAATAATCCTTGATTAAATGCACATCCTCAAGGCACACTACTTTCAGAACGTGATAAATATCCTTCTAGTATGGCGCATCTTTTGACCGCAGACAAATTGGCAGAGATCAAAAACTATGAGGAGCAGATGTTTGACTACTTTTCACACTACTCAGCGAAACTTCGCGAGTGGTACGCAAATGGTGGTGACAAGTCCGAAGATTACAAGGCCCAGTATGACAAGCTTACGGAAGAGTATTACAGGTACCTTAAATATATTCAACGACTAAGAAGTATGACAACAATGGGATGTGACATCTCTCACCAAGGTTTGATACTTTTTTATAGAATAGCATTTTTAAATTTCAGTCGAAGCTAACAACCTTCAAAACACTCCAAGTTTTGTCCAACGTCAAACTGTTGATAGTATTCCCAACTCAAATACAACATATTCGGCATCCGCTGCTGCGGATTACACTCGTTACTATCAGAATATGATCAGTTATTTTGGCAAACTTTTGGAGTCTGTTCAGCAAAACGATCCTGAGTGCAACGAGAGCTCCGATGAGGAGAATCGAGATAAAGAGAAAGTATGTTTGTATTTCCCTCTCAGTTCTGTAGATAAAACCAGGTGGGACTGTGGATCACGATAATAGTCAAGATAATGCAGTTTCAATAGAAAAGGTCAGCTCGGAAAACTCAGAGATACTGGATCCTTGTTCCGACCCGAATGCCGTAATGAAGGAATATTTTGATCGTTATGTTAAAGCCGGAGATTGGGATTGGGCATCCTGGAATAATTACCTGAGTTGGATCGCCCGCACCAATCCTCAGTGGTATGAAATATTTGTGAATTTAAGCCGAGGACTCGGCATAGATTGGGATGACATGTATAAAAAGTGGGTCAGCTCGGTGTCAGGGGATTCCAGCTGCAATAAAAACCCACCTATGTCTTGTGAGTTAAAATTATTGTACTTATGGTTTCTATCTTTAAGGGAGTGACTATCATCTAGATGTAGTTTGAGTACTCGAATTGTTATATTGACCTCGAAGGTACATTTTATATGGGCAACCTGAGGATGCAGTTCAAATAATATGGAAATTCGCCAACATACTTTTCTTTGTGCTGCTTGACGATTACCACAGGATACTGTTTCAAGAAACAGGTTTTAGCATACGAAATACACGTTATGTATGCTTCTCCCTTATGAAGGTATCCAAATGTCATTAGAATCAGCTGCAAATGATCAGTAGTCAATATTTTCTGCTGTCGTTGAGCTGGGTTTTCTAAAAGTAAATATTCAGTGTCCAAAATGCCTGAGTTCCAGGTCTTTGGTTGAATTACCATACTCAAATGTTTGAGCTCTTTTATAAAATGTTTACCTTATTAGTTTGTTCAATAAAGTCAGTGTTGTCTTGAATTGGTTCTGTTTATTTACTAAAGACTGATGTTCCCCTACCAAAATAAGTTCATTCAAATCGAACACAGTTAATAGCGATTTCCTTGCACCATGTAAAATCCATCTAGATATTACCGATCTAATGCTGACCCTATAATAAACTAAGTTATTCTACTAAACATCTGTTATCTCAGGTTTCCTACTGACAGTTTCTACAAGTATCTTATAAGACCAACTTGCTTCTCATACTTAAGTGTTCTTTACGTAAACATTTTGCCTATTTGTAATGCCATTTTAAATAAAATAATAAATTATCAATACTTGTTTTCACTAGTTTTCAAACATTGATGTTCTGTATATTATCATTTGAGCTGTTTTTTATGGATTAACAAGTATATTTCGCATATCCGTAAACCCTTAATTTAGAATTTACATTAACCGTTCTTGTGTTTCATATGTAACTTGAAGCTTATGGAATGATAGAACTTCGTAGCTCAGGAGTAGAATTTGAAAAGTACTGCGTTTCCTTATTTGTGTGGTTTAATCATTAAAAATCCAGATCGCCCCACGACTTTTCGTGTCATTCTTACACCTGACCGTGTAATAAGTTACTGTAAGTTGCCTGAATTTCCCATTTAACGAGTTCGTAGTAAATATCCAAATGGGCTTCTTAACATTATACTCTTTGTTGAATCGGTGTTAACCTTCAGCCGGTATCGAACTTTGGGATGATATATCGATCAGTGATAAAAAAACGCTGAATCATCCAACGTCTAGTTTAAATACATCAGTTACTTTTGTTTGTTTATTATAACCATGATATCAGTTGTCACAAAGCTACCTAAATTATTGCTTAAGTTCCTTATAACTCAACTCAAGGCTTTTATTTTAGCATTTTGTTTCAGAAATTTTAAGTGAGTTTTCATTTTTAATTCATTTTAGATTCATGTGACCGGAACTTTTCTTTTGCAAACTACCTTGGATTGGGGTCCACTGACATACCGACTATTTGTAAACAAAATGTTGAAAATGATGATTATGATGACGGTGAAGGCTCGCAGCACTATTGTGTAACTTGTAAACAAGACTTTGGTACCGAGCGTGCGTTCATGTTACACATACGTGGTGTGACACACACTCAAAGAACTCTTCAGTCTAGCGGAATAAATTCTTTTGACTCCACTGTCTTAGAGGTAAAAATAACTGCTTTTTGCCGATTAGTGTTCCTTTGTGTTTATTTCATATGGATTGTATAACTATCTGTCTTTTATAGGAGAACTGGGAGGTAAAACATCACGAATGGTTGAAATCGCAGTATTTAAATGGACTTAACTCTATTGTGGGATTATCTGGATCATTTTACTGTGAGGTGAGGTGTTTACGTACATAACTGTGATGCGTTTTAGTTACTTTAAGTTTCGAGTTTTATAGAAAATTCCCAACCTTAATTAAATATTATGTTTGATTAACAGATAAACTTATGCTCATAAATTGCAGAACTTGTTAGAATGTGTTAATATATATTATCTTTCTATTGTGAAGAATAATGTAATAACAACCCCTGAGTCATTTGAAGCAGAACTATTGGGTGCGTAGATTTATTCGTCCTCAGTTTGCATTTTGGACGTACTTTACAGCCCACGAAACACTTTTTCCACAACTCATCAGAATCGTGATGATTGTGTGTTAACTAGTCTATTCTATGACATTTTCGTATCATTTTTACTCGTGAGTCAGTCATAATCAACATAGATCCTCACATAAATGTGTGTTTAACCAATCATCCATGGCAAAATCGACACTACAAGAGGAAGCTAACAAGATAAATAACATAGGGTTCAAAATACTTGTAACAGGCCTGATAGTGAAGAAAGATAAACATTGAAAATAGTCTTAGAAGATGGAATAAAAAGGTTTATGCAAAGGAATACTCATACTCAAAAGGTAAAGTATGAATACATCTAAGGCACTGTGATAGATTTTGAGTTATATCACCCGAAATCTACAACTGATCCCGTGGACCTTAAGCAGGTAATTCGTGTCTACCAACACATTTCGGTTCAAGTCAGCAGTTCGATGGAATGATGTTACATCTTGGTTTGGCAACTCATCTTTTCTTCAATCTATTCTTACTCCAACTAACATTGAGCGTTTAGGTAGGCGGTGATTTAGTATACGTAACATTTCATGTGCTTCCCATTTCACACTCATCAACTGACTTGCCGTATTTGCTTAACCTCAACACTAGTCACTCAGTCTCCCCTTGATACAAAAGCTGTGCTTTGATAACACGTACAAATAAAATTTGTAGCTGTCTTATGTTTCCTTGTCTTGCAGCCTTTTCCACTGTCGTTGCTAGGTTTTCCACATATTTCTGCTTGTCGGCCCTAGTGCTCCTCTTCACTTGCATGTTTGCTTCTGTGTTCAGCTTGTGCCTTGACTTTCTCTGCTCTTGTTTGGTTGTTGTTAATCTCTGTCTTCCTTTCTTGAATCTCACCCAGGGTTTCGATAGAGATCCATCCATTATGATGATGTATGTTGCGGTGCAGAACCTCCTGACACGTTGAAATTAATGCTTCTTTGATCCCTTTCCAGTTGTCTTTCGTAGTAGTTTCTTTCAGTAGATTACGTCAGGCTTGGAACCTGTCGTTGAGTTATCCTGAATTGGTTGAGTTTGTCAGTATCTTGAAGGAACGTTGTATTGAATCTTTGTACTATTGTTTCCCTAGTTTTCAAGTGTTTCTTTGGCTTCAATTTCATCATTGCAAACATCAGGTGGTGATCTGAAGTTTTGTCGGCTTTTCTCCTGGTTCTCACGTCTTCCATTGACCTTGTAAATTTTTTGCTGATGCAAGTATGATCTATCTGGTTCTCTGAGGTTTGATTCGGTGAAACCCATGTGCTTAGTGCATGCGTTTGTGTGGGAGTATATTATGCCGCCTGTAACCAATTCGTTGAATGCACATAAATTTGCAAATCTCTCCCCACTTTCGTTTCTCTCTCCCAGTCAGTCCATGTCGTCCCATGATATCTTCATAACCGTTTTTCATTCCGACTTTGGCGTTAAGATCTCCCATCAGGATGGTCAGGTTCTTTTTTTTGGGCACTTCGGTATGATTGATTGCAACCTCTTGTAAAACTAATCTTTATCCTTGTCATCGCTATCATTGGTGGTTGCATAATATTGGATAACACTCATTGCAATTCCCTCCTTTGTTGTGAAGGATGCTTTGACGATCCTGGATCCATGAGATTCCCATCCCATAAGTGCATTTGGTACTTCTTTGGACAGCATCAAAGCAACTCTCTGAGTATGTGGAGCATTTTCCTCTTTGTGACCGGAGTACAGCAGCATCTCTCCCGTATATACCCTTTCCTTTCCAGCTTGGGTACAATGGGTTTCTCTAATTCTGAGTACTGCCAGATTGTATCTCATTTTCGTTGCTATTTGACTGGCCCTCCTGGTCTCCCACATTGTCCAGACGTTTCCGTGTACCTCGTTCTCGTTGTTAGAAGGGGAATTGGCCTCGTGACTTCTGAAGAACCTCGGCCTTCATCCTGAATCGTCATAATTCTTCCTTCAACTCCCAGGGCAAAGTTTTAATGGTTTGATTTGCTTAATGTGGTTGGCGTTTTTTAGTAAGATTTTTTTCTACGAGATGAGGTTGCCGACCCCACACCAACCCCCCTTCTTTGTGTGGTCTTGAGACCGGTAATAGCTCTAGAAGAGCTACAGGTGGGGTTTGCAGAACCACATGCAGGTGACAATGTATCTCTGTAGTTACAGATAAGTTTGTATGCTACATTCCGAGTTATACTTTTTGAGCTGTAATGATATTTGGCTTTTTAAATCTTGACAAGTAGGGGTGTATTTGACCCGTTCAATTATTGGTTTAGTGGAGCTCATTAACTAGCATACTCAGATAGTATAATTCCCCATACATAAAATTCTGTGTTATTATAACTATTCGGTTACTACTTCCTTACTATGTTGAGTGTTAAACTAGTAGTTTCAACATCGATAATAAAGTAGCGCTACATATCCCAGATATTGCAAGTTTTTCCAACCGTTAGTCAACCCATACACCAAAACTATTTTTTAAGCTGCATACTAACCAACCAAATTTCCTTCAGTCTTCTATGTTATATCTTAAATAATCCCTTTTATATTTCTTTAGTTGTGTGAAGTAGAATTCCCATCTCACAAAGCTCTTGGTTCACATCTTAATGGACGTCGACATCGAGAAAACGTTTTTATTTTTGAGTCAACTGGTAAGGCAAGAATAAAATCTGAACTCAGATAAAATTTTTACAATCATTTATTGTTTGCTTTTAACTTATCTTCCTACAACATAGTTGTTTTATTTTATTTAATAGTTACTGGTTGCTTAGATCGCTTGTCGACTCCTTAATTTTGGTTTGGTTTTATCTCACTTCCAATTAACTATCGGTGACTAACAAAGTAGTTTTCAAAGAGCTTAGTATTACGAATAATCTCAATTATTTTGTCGTTATATGCAACTAACAAGAAAAGTACCTATATATGGAGTCGACAAAATTTATATTAGAGTCGTTTTGTGTGCGATTCGATTGCAACACATGTGGGAACTTTAAATCTTTATACTGACTTTTTTATGTCTGTAACCGTACCTTTCAGTCAGTCAGATAGTAAATAAGCAACAACTATTTACAACTTCATTGTCTTCCAACCTCTATCTCTTTCTATCAGAATTAATATTCAGGACAAATTTTTTGAGTTAGTTTCCAGCCTAATGGATTCAAATCACGTTGACTAATTAACTGACTTTAGGAAAACATTTTCGCACCATTAATACTAACAGTAAATGGAGGCTTTTGCTCATAGAGAACTTAGTAGTGGTAGTATAGTGTTTACTTGGTTTCCTACCCATTCTTACAATGATTTTGTATCAAATAAACTATCGTTCTGATCCTGTTAGTTACTAGTCTGTAAAATAATATTCCAAAAGGAGTTAGTTTCACATAGGTATGATTAAAATTAAGTTTCTTTTATCACTGAAGTATGGTTTGTAGTAAAATTTCCATCATCTATTAGATAAATGTAAATCTCGTATTCATTGTTACAAAATTGCCTGTGATACTTATTTTTATAGTAAGATAGTACCCCTTATACATCTAAACATGAACTTATCTGATTGGGCTGTATAGTAGCAAAACAACGGTGTCTTAGCTTTTCCTGGAAAGAAAAAGAAGTGTAGCATTTTGTTTGGATTCCCTATATATTATGATCTGTATTATATTTTCTTGCATGTATTTAAAAACTAAACAGCATCAGTTGTATGGGGAGCATGTTTGTGTCCACTGCAAATTGTTCATATGGTAAGGCATGTAGAGGTAACGTCGGAAAAGTCTGGACAAATTGAGTGGTATTAATAATATTTAATGCCCATCTAGGAACCTTAGCAACATTTTGCTTTGAGAGTGACTAACGTTACCAATAGAAATTGTCATTTAGAAATAAGACTCATATTTTTCTGATCGTTCAGATGTGACCGTTTTTTATGTCATATAATTGTAGGAGATCGTTCTTTGTTGAAGGGTAAACGTCAGGCTCAAGTAAAAGTTACTGCCAAAATACAACCGTTTCTTGATGTGTGTACTCAACCTCTAATAGGACTCAATTATATGATCGAGTATCAGTTACAGGAACTGGATGAATGTCTGTATATTTGTAGTCTCTGTAATCAGTGGCTACCAAAAAAGTCAGTGATAAATCACCTGTGTAGTATTGTCCATAGAAAAACATATCTTGTAAGTTAATCAAAACAATATACTAAAGGTTTTCCAGAACACATATTACTTACCTCTGTTCAGAATTATTGACCGGGATTATAGTGATAAATCGCTTCAAGCTTGTCGATTGGAGGTATATGCTCGTAAGATAGAAGATTTCGAAGGAAGGAAACGTCTTATTATCAAAGAACATTCTGTAGCAGGTAAGCCTTGATTTCATATGGAATTAATCTCACTAGATTTTGATCTTCAGAGCGAAATTATACGTCTTATCCAAGAACACAATGAGGCACGTCTTTTAAAAGAGAAGTGTCGAAAATCGGTGAGAATACAAATCTTTATTAACTTCTTATAATTACCTTTCTATACAGCCTCCGCGTACTTGTGAGCACTCCACTTCTAATACTCCCGTTTCGGGAGACCTTGAAGAAGGAGAAATAAGAGAAGATTCTTCTGATGAAGAACCAAATACTGAAGAAGGTATTTTACCTTCTATTTTATGTCTAATAACTTTATGTACATCTAGTGAGCTCTCCAGATTCTGAATCAAGTTTTTATGCACGTTATAATGTTATCATGAAATCGATCGATAAAAAAAGAAATAGTGTTACCGATGGTGACACAAGCAAACCAAACAGAAAGTCTCAATTTCTTATGGATACCATTATATCAGAAAACAAGGATGTACAACTTAACGGAGAATTTGTAGAGGATGTTACAATCACAGATGAAGACTGTGAAAAGTATATGTACGTTAACATTCAGTTAACTTGGTTTTTGCATACCCTAGTTTTTGAAAAGTCAAGTACTTTAAGCTTCAAAATATATTAATTATACGAATCAAGAGATTGTTAGTTATATTCATACAGCAAGCTGTTACATACTATCTGATAATATGACGCTACTTATAGTTGTATATTCTTAGGTTAATGAGCTTGGAAATTACAGTATAATCTTTTACTTTGCTGTATTTTTCCGGGATGTGACTTCGATGTGTTTCTTTCCAACCTCCTAATTAAAATAGTTTGCATAAGTAACGGTATTATCACGGTGTGCAAATGTTCGGAAGTAATCTTTTTTGTAATCTGTTAGCACTCGAAATAATTCCTCACTTCTCTTGACCCTTTACACCACATTCCAATTAATATTTTTGCAATTATTAATCTCTTTAAAAATTGCAGAAACTTCAAACTATTTAACTGTAATATCATAAAACGAATAATTTAGGAGGATTCCTCTTAGAAAGCAATAAAATTTCAAACATCGATAGCCATATCATTATGGAAAACAGTTTAAAGTAATTCTCCTTCTAAGAGCAGCTCTCGATTATATTGTCTTCTCTTAGCGTCACTGACTATGTGAACTGCATAATCAAAAATACTATTTAAATAAACTGATTTCCGATTTGACGTTTGTTTTTATTACAAACTGACATCAGTCAGTAAATCATCTCTGACCAGAAAGCTATGGAAAACTGTTTTGTCTTCCCTAGTACTCATGAAACCCATTAACTATAGGAATGTTTCCATTCTTTTGTTTTAAAGCCTGTCTAAAACAAACTTCTAATGCATTCTTTCTTCACAGTGCACTTTAAAAAATTTTTTGGTGTTTTAAAATTTTAAGATAACCTGGCAAAAGCAAAAGCAGATGAAATGTTTGATAATAATGAATTTACATGGTTTACGTTTTACATAGTCTCACTTTAGTCTTGTAGTTGGGTAATTACAGATAATTATCTGGAGATACTCAAATGATAAAATACTAAAAAGAAAACACAGGTAATAATTTTCTGGGTGTTTACTTTTGATAAATAATTTGTTTTTGTGTTTATAAAAACTTTGTTCTATTTCATTAGTCAAGAGCTGGAACATGAAGGCTTATTACAATTAAAAGCATCTAATTCAAGCGGTAAATTACGACGAGACTCTTCTTATACGGATCAATTCACAAAGGAAGCCGACTGGGTTTTAGAAAAGTTAAAAACTTTGAAGAGTAGACATGAAGAAAACCTTCGACAAACAGCAGCAGATGTGTCTGCTACAGCGAGAATTCAGGCTAATAAATTATCAAATACTGAGAATTCTCCGGTTCAACATTGCTCTTTTATACATGATTTTTCTTACAGTCATTATTACAAGTCACGGTAAGTAATGGAAATACATATTTTCTTCAATTCTTTCTTGTAATGCTTGGCAGTGTAAATTTACTAACTTGATTATAATTGGGAAAATTGTAGTTATATAAGTTTGTTGACTGAATCCCATCGCTCATTTCCCGCGGAAAATTTTAGAATCAAGATTAGTAAATAAAATAAAACACTTCTAGCTAGATCGTTTAAACCAATGTTCTTACTGGGTTTGCAAAATATATATATTCGTCGTTCAATGTTTTGATTATCTAATTAAATAATCACAAATAATCCACTCACTCACCAAGTGCGTGGGTATGAGCTACACTCTAGGTGTAAAGGCTATTTATACTACCCAGTTACCCAGGCCAAAGTACGTGGAGCGGAGTTCGGTCCTGGGACTTAGTGGCTGATTATTTGATTAGCATCAATGACTACAACTACCCGGCTTTATCATTCAGAGATTCTCTACCTTTTTACTAACAAAGTGATCTGAATTGTAGAGTTATCACCTTTTTGTCTAGATTATTAAAGTGTACAATATACAAAGTTAACAGACTTAACCAAACGTGTTTCAGTCGGTAGAATTATTCCAACGAAAGTCCTAATAATTGCTGACTCCTCAGTCATAAAAATCGCCTATTCTTCCCAAAAAACTGTTTTTCCTCATAATTTATATAGCTAGAATGAAATACTTATGAATAAAATCCCAGACAACCTATTATTTTTGCGTATGTGTTCAAGTCAATAAATACCTCGTAGTTGCTTTGACTGTCTGTTTGGATCGATATTGATTGCACAAAACTAATGCTTTTAATTATCCAATTATTTACTTTGTATTGACACTTTTTGTCTTCAAATTATCATTAAAACTATATCTTTTCTGTGTTTAATTTAATAATCCATTGCCTTAAAAGATTTGACAAAGGATTAATTCTCCCACCACTCGGAACTCCAGTAGGCCCTTCAGTTCCTATATACAAGAATTACAACTATCCGATTCCTCCAAACACTGGAAGCTTAGATGAACGTAATGCTAATCCAGGAGAGAGTAGCACTCGAATAGCTTTATCTAGCAGTGCATTTAACGTAATATTATCAGCTATCGATGCCCTCAAATCTTCCGGACAGTTACCTAGGGGTCTGAATCCAACGTTAAAAGAAAAGAATATCAACGTAATTCAGATTAAAAATCCCAGTCAGCAGATTGTCAACAGAGATAATCAGCAATATATATCTCCTAGTTATAATCAAATATCAGGACTTGAAGATCCAGTACACTGTAAGTAAACACTTATTCTGTCGTATGGTAAGATGTTAAGTTTGATGTGACTGATTTGTCAAATAGAAAATGATATACTTTAATTCATACTGTTTGCAGTAAGGCTAGTGATACGAGGTTTGAACTTGGGACTTACTTGCGAAAAGCCATGTGTTTCAATTACTAAGCCACTGCCTCAGGCGAATTCCCAGTTATTGAAGTCCTAGAGTTTTTTTTACCTTTTAACAGCTAAGCATCCCTATACGTTGCTTCTATTCATAAGATGGATATACCATTAAGAGCCAATACTTTCCTACAAAGTCATACAATGTTTCTTCAACTATTTAATCATTTGATACAACCAGTAAAATAAACTCGTCTAATGAGTTTATATTATAATAATCAAACTGTTAACTACACGAGTGACATTTTTATAAATGTGACCTTTATTTTCAGCAAGAAAGATCTAGTTGTCTCAGTAATAGTATTTTATTAGTCATAAGGTACTAAATAGTATTACCACTAAGTTTCTTACAAATATCTTGACCTTATCATGTCTACTGTTTAGGGGCTATCTAAGATGTACATGTTTTAAATCATATTAGTTTCTTATTTATAGCTTATATCAATTTTTCGTTTTGTCAGGCACTTCCGTAGATTCAACTGCAAACAATGCACCTTTGACTACGAATTCGGAGCATGTTAACCCCCCTCACCTGGACGTCTCAAGGCCTGTTTATGCTCCCGTACCCATAAACAGAGAAGGACTGAATAAAATCCCGAATTCACCTCAAAGAGGTGTTGAGTTTCATAAAAATCAAATCGTTTCAACGTCATTTAATCGGCACGCGCAAAACAATCCTCCTTTAAAGTCACTTATTAACCCATATGAACCACAGAATATAATGCATCAACCAGCATCAGATAACCTTACCAATGATGAAAAAATATTCGACGCGTACACCATATTTTCAAAACGCTGTGAACTTAAAAAAGCTCAAAAGCAGAGCTGGATAAAAACCCCGAGATATTTCAGGCGTGGAATGAGAGGTGAAGTTAACCAGGGTTCAGCCACGAACTCCCATTTCCACAACTCAACTGGAAGACGACTATCTGCTATTGCTGATTTTCTAGGTGTTAATGAACCACCTACCGAAAGGAAACGAGTTCATACTTCAAATAACTTAGAATCGCATCCGGCCAGCAATTTACCTTACCATTCGTATTCCTCAAATACCTTTCAACATCCTTTAACTCTCAATAATCATACATCTTTTTCTCAACCTGTATGCCCCCCCGTGTATGCTAATCAGTCTGCTAACCATAGAATCCCTTCAATTCCACTCAATCTAATGAATTTCCCCAGATCATTACCCCCATATGCTGCTCCTAATTCGTATACACTCACAAACCCACATACCAATAGTTCTTTTTGGCCTGGTCATCTCAATCTTGATTCATGTGTTCCAAGTGCCTCACAGTCATTACAGTACTATAATTCTTCGTTTCTTCCTACATTCAAGTAACTTCATTTCATTTGATTTATTTGGTGCGTTTACCCAGTGATACTTAAACGGATTAAGAACTTTGTATATAAACTAGTAACTAAAAATGTTACGTAGCCATGTATATAGAATTGAATACATTTTTATCGATTTGCATGTTCTAATCAACACTTATCTAAAGTCCCAAGTAATCAACATTTACTAAGTATCTTGAGATTTCCCGAAATTCCTTTCTACGAAGATGAAAGCCAGTCGCAAATGTTGTAGACCCATGCCAAGTTTTCGTACTCACAGTCAGTCAGCTACAACGTAGGACCAGGCACACATATGCATCGGTCCAAGTTGCCACGCCTCATTAGCACAACAAGATGAACACCGGATTCATAGAAATAGTTAATTTAGTGGTGGTAATATATAAAAGATAGGTTGTCTATGAGGATATAATACAGGAAGAAATAATTAGTTTATAGAAAGAATGGTATAAAGCGATTTTAATCTCACGGTTTAAGGGAAGACAAAGAGTATATACACCGACGCCATTGTCCTCGGTTCTGAGCTATGTCACCCAGAGTCTCCAATTATTGGTTACGATAGTCGCATGGACCCCAACCAAGTGGTCTACATCTGTTAACATGGCTCAGACCAGAAGTTAGTGACTTATGTCATGTTTTGGTTTGACCACCCCTAACTTTTCCAACCATCCCCTACACTAGTCAGCATAGCGCGTCGTGGTAATCAGTGTTCAGGCATACGTAACATGTGGCCTAACCATCTCAGTCGGTGAAGATTTACAGCCCCATCAACTGATTTACCATCATTCCCTGATACCCTGTGTCTAACTTCACTATTACTTACCCGGTGATCCCAACAGATGCGAGCAATATTTTTAAGATCTCTGCGATTAAATACTATTAACTTATATCTTCTCTTAATGGCCACGTTTTGCAGCCGTTAAGTGGAACAGAACGAGCTGCTGCGCAGTATACTCGCCACTTAATTGGTAGACGGATATCTTGTCTTCGCCATAAGTGACGTAAGTTGGCGAGAGCCAAACGAGCTTTCTGAATCCGTGCACAGATTTCGTCAGACACCAACCCTTTAGGGCTGATCAGACCTCCAAGATAAGTGAAGTTGTCGACTCGTTCGACTACTTCGCTCCCTATCCTTAGTTCAGGTGTTGACGCAGGCCAGTTGTGGAGTAACAATTTACATTTAGAAGAGGAGAAACACATTCTAAACATCCTTGAATTGTTACTCAGTGCTACCAAAAGACTGCATTTTATTAGCGTCTTCACCAAACAGGACTATGTCATCTGCGTATTGTAAGTCGATAAGTGGACCTCCTGGAAGATCAATTTCTAAAAATTCAGACGACGAAAACGTTAATTCCAGAAGCAAGTCTACGATGAAGTTAAACAAAAATGAGGAGTGGACAGCCTTGTCGGATACCACTTGAGGTTATAAAATCAGATGATATTTCTCCATAAGCTCTGACTCGACTGGTAGTGTTCGAGCAAAGAACCTTCACAAGGTTTATGTACTTCTGAGGTACACCTTTCGATGATAGACACTGCCACATATCCTCTCGGTCTACAGAGTAAAATGCTGCTTTTAAGTTTAGAAAAACTACGGTTGTCGGACACCGATAAGCATGCCTGTGTTCTAAAACCTGACAAATAGTGAACATGTGGTCGATGCAGCCACAATCAGGTCTGAAGCCAGCCTTATTTTCTCTTGTTTGCAGTTCATGAGCCTTTGTTATGCGCCCGATAATTATTGAGGTTAGTATTTTAGATATTATATTAGTCAAACTAATCCCTCTATGGTTATCACAGGATGATTATGATCCTTTTTTATATATTGGGACAATCAGTGATTGAGACCACTCAGATGAAATCACGTCCAACTACCAAATTTTAGCTAAAATAGTTAGTCAACCTAATTGCTAAAATTGGTCCACCATCCTTAAGGACCTCTGAAGCTAATCAAACTAAACCAACTGCTCTTTCTTGTTTCAGATTAGCTATAGCTTTTTGAACTTCAAATAGAGTTAGGGGACCTACTTCAATGTTCCATTCACACTGTCTGGGAATGGTGGGTAACTCTAGAGTAGTTGAAGGCCAGCTAAACTGTTCTCTAAAGTGTTCCGTTCATCGTTCTAAACGTCTGGGCTGAGAGCAGATAAGGGTTTCGTCTTTTTCCGAGATCGTTTCGCTTACAATGACTTCTTAATTCCGGTTTTTTTATCAGTCTGAAGAGTTGTCTGGTGGTGCCTACAGCCACTGTCTTTTCCATCCCTTTTGCTTTCGTTGCCCACCACTGCTCACGATCGTTCCGTAGACTTTTGGTTAGTCTTGATCTGATTTGCTTTCGCTCTTCATGTGTTCGGAGCCAAATGGGATGAGTTTATGAGAATCTATCAGTGCAATAAACTTAGTAGAGATCCACTGATTTTTCGTGACCTTTTGGTTCAAATCACTGATAGATGTCGCTGCTGTTTCCACATCTGTTCGTATATCTTTCCAAGCAACATATGGGCCAGCCTCGTTTACAGAACTGCGTAAATGTGAACTCAGTTGCTCCTGGAACCTACTTTTAGCTTTCTCGTCCTTCAGTTCAATTCTAATGGGTCTTCTTAGTGTAGTTTTCCTGTGTCCAGTGAGGCGCAAGCAAATGCGTGCTCTTATTAGAGCATGATCAGAGTATAAACATGTTTTCCAGAATGACCAGTAGTCTTCTATCGAGCCTCTCCAACAATGACTGATGACAGTATGGTCTATTTGAGTCCATCGTTGGCTTAGTGCAGGTGGTCACCTTGTTAGGCGATGTCTCTCCTTATGTTTAAAGTTAGTGTTCGCTAAAAATAAACGATTGTCTGAGCAAAGTTGCAACAGATGATCACCATTATCTTATCGCTGAGTCGGAATACTGAAATACTCACCTAAATGTCTTTCTGTTTGGCTTAAGCTATCTACTTGGGCATTAAAGTCACTTGCTACGAGTACTATGTCTGAGCGCTTAGTTTTTTGAAGAAGTTCAGATAGCTTTCTGTACAAGTCATTTTTCACTTCATCATGACTGCAGTCAGTGGGAGCGTAGGCAGAAACGACGAAAAGGCAACGACATGTGTCTCTATCCTCCCGAGTTCTTACGATGCCACTTTATCGAACAACACTTGAGCAACTGTTAACGGGGACTCACTCTAATAGTGCTTGTTCTTCTCTCGTACTAAGTGCTATGTTTAAACCTGCAAGTCCACGAGAACTAGCCACCTAGTGGCCAGATACACGGAGAGTGTATTTCGTTGGCTGTCCATTTTGGCGAGGCGAAGTCAAATGAATGACCACACGGATCCTGTATGCGTGTTTCGGAGACAGCATACATCAATGGTACGAGATTCTAGGGTTTTAGCCAAGGAGATCTGTTGGCCGATCCGACACAGGGTACGTACTTTGAAGGCTCCAATGTGTAGTTTGGAGCGAGGTTTTAGTAGACTTGGGACTGTTTCGCGCACCAGAATCGTTGGCCATGGTAACACTTGAGGAGGAAACCGGAAGAGGAAGTTCAGTGTTGAAAGTTGAGGTAGAAGGATTAGTGGGAAGTGAAGAAGGAGATTGATTATGAATACAGTGGTCGTGAGTGCTGTTAGAGGTATGAGGGCAGTTATCACTTCCCGGTTGCCCACACCGTGGAAGGGTTCTTCTAGAGGTACCCGTAAAGGAAATCGGGTTATAAGTGGTTTTAATGACCCGAGAGCGTGGCCACAGTGCCAAATGAACAACTGCTTGAAGTCGATCACACACGACCTTTTTGCGTTAGCTCCGTTCTCTAAAGGACCTTACCGCCGGAGGCGGATATCCGTGAGATAATGCGATTTGTGCATTTTTAGGGTCGACCTTTTCTAACCCCACCCCTCCTTGTGGGAAGGCAGCATCGCTGTCATGCTGGTTGTCTGAAGGAAACACCTTGCTGCTTTCACACCTCACTACAGTCAACAGCGCGACTTCGGCATTTCGGTTAGCTGCTTTTAGTCTTACCGCTCTTCAACCGACCTGTCTGGCATGGTAGGAGCTTGAGGAACGATTGTTCCAGCCAGTGTAGCTCGATTGGTTCATCACGATAGGCAAGCCCGACCACCGCGTCAAGGTAGCAGCAACGGTCGGGTTTCGTACTCTATCACCACAGCAAGAGTAATAATAATAGTATTCATAGTAGCAGTGAACTTAACATATAAAATGTGCCTTCACTTATTGTTTTATGGAGAGATTAGTTCAGTAATATTTTCCGTCGCAAAATGATGTCAGCTAATAGCCAGATTACATTCCCAAATTGTATTTAAATTTGCGTGCAAACCACCACTATTTACCCAGATATGTCCGATTCAACGATCATTTAAGTGCTGTAATAGCTTGCATATATGTACCGTTACAAGACCTATACAGTTGGGAGATTGCTTAGTTCGAAAATTAGATTACAAAACTAGACCAATGACTGTTAATGTATGATACCTTCGGTTTCTATTCCCTGTCTTGTAGGTATAGTGGCAGATTTAACCGCTCACTCATAACCGCAAAAAAAATTTATAAGCTTGTTTCTTGGACGTTTTACACAGATCAAACTATTACTGTTAACGAAATGGGGAAGAACGTTATGCACCGCATGCTTCGTTTGTATTTGAATTGATGTTGTCTGTAACAAGAATGAAGTAAAAGCCTCAGTTCTCTATTCCATGAAATTACTGACTTGTAAAAGAGAAACCCATGAGTGGTTCGAACGAAGCTACAATATAAGTTGTAGAGCATATCAGTTTTTGCACGTCTGTCTTCGAGAAAATACTTTATTCATCTCTTCCCAACTAACTATTTTAATACTATTCTGTTTCTCATTATTTGAGTACTGTGATATTTTGCGGTACAATAGTGTAGGTCAAAGTGTAGTGAGTAGCGGTATTCCTTAGTACGAACGTTATTTTATACAATGTTGTATCTAAAACTATTAAAGATGTCCAATCCTTAAATACA